CAAAAAAAAAAAAAAAAAAGAACATAAGCACTTAGAGTTTTTATCTAGACTTTCTCATTTCGTAAGTTTTAGAAGTTAAGCACCCTGAGGTTTCATAGCAGAGAACAATTCTCATTTGGGTAAATAGTCTCACCTTATTGCATGTGTTCTGACTAAGGAGAGTGGGGGATTTCTCCTGTTCATCCCTCAGTGAGAAGGAGGACAAATGACTGAAGGGTCCTGGGGTAAGACAGTCAGCATGAGACAAGGTCTGTGGATGCAGCAGGGATTTAGCAGGAGGGTAGAGTTTAGACTGATATAAAGGATGGAGAGAGACAGGCCTGTGAGGGATGGCCACATCCTAGGAAGAAAAGGCACAGGGTAGGTTAGTGTATGAACATCAGGCACACCACGACTTACCTATGAGAGATGTGTTAGATCCTCCAATGAGTAAGAAGAATAGTCTTTATAAGGCCTCTCTCACGAGACACTCGGTTTCATAGTGAATATATTGTCTCTTTGAATAATCTTTCCCACCCTCTCCAGTCTTTCCTGCAAGCAAAACAGGGGCTTGCAACCCATCTCCTGAAGATGCTATTTGTTGTTGCTGAAAGTATTGAGAGGAGAAATATATAGGGAAGAGCAGAACCTGTCCTCAGGGGGCTGCCTGGGCCCAGCAAACAGGAGTCAGCAGTGGAGGTTATTAACTCAGGAATGCAGAAGATTTGGTCTAGAATGTGCCAGGGCAACGGGAAGGAATTAATTTATGAGCAGAGGCACAGAAGATCTGGGTGTATTAGTTTATTCAGCTGAGCCAAGCAGAAATCTAGGATCAGTTAGAGGTGAGTCTAAAAGGAATGAAGACCATATCCAATTCTAGGCCATGTTGTCTTGAAGAGAGCCTGGTAGTTCAGCAAACAGGAGGGATGGCTGTAGAGGAGGCCTTATTAGCATGATTATTAGCATGGAAAAGATATGAATGCAAGAGCTTAAAGAAATAGGCAGCTAAATAAGAACATGACTTATGCGGATGGAGCAAGGGATCAACAAAGATTAGAAAGAGCTGGCCTGTGTATATGAAATGTAGCTGTGAAAACAAAGGGCTAATATTTACAGATACACAGAAATGTTTTATATTTCTGGAATCTTACATGTCAGAAAATAAATTGATTATCCTACAATAAAACCCTCTAGGACATTTACTGCATAACAAGGAACCTACTTTCTTATTTTTCTGACCTCAGAATCAAGCAAAGAAAGGCTATGGTAGATACTTAACACATCAATATTGAATTTGAAAGAAAGATGATATTTCTTGTAATTTCAATGATGTATTCTATTACTTCTATGCTTCATAGCAATGGACTATTTTGTTGGGTTTGGAACAAATTTAGTATCAAATAATACATATGGATCAAAATGACATTTGACTAACAGGTAAACCCAAATTGTAACACAATAAAGTTAATATTTTATGTTCATTTCCTTCATTTTAAGCAATACATTTTTATGTCTCTGATAGGCCTTTAAAATAGTAAACAAAAAATGTCAGTTACAAGAGGAACATTGCTATCTATTAATTCCCGTGGCTATTCAGTTGATTTATTTAGAACATCTAGGGATACTACCTAAAATGGAGACTCACCCAACAGTAATGAATTCAGCTCCTTTTTTCCAGTTAGTATACATTTTCTTTCTTTCTTTTGTTTGGTTTCTTTGGTCAATACTTCTCAAAACTATTCATGCCAGTATGCAACTTAAATTAAACATGGAGTTTCTCTATCAGTGTTCTTTCATTTAAATTAAAATATATTCTAATTTTATCTGATTTCTCAGTCACATAGTTATCACTTTATTGACAACCCATTGCATTGTTTAGTGCCAAAGGCAAATAATGGAAAATTGAGTAGCAAGAGCAAACCTAGCTATGTGAGAAACAGGGCAATGTCCCTGTTGATAGTTGAGGAAGCTTGGAAAAGGGTGGCCTAATGGTCTGTTGTTTACACACTTAGATTTCTTGGAAGGTAAAGTACCAGTTCTCTGAATATCAGAAGTCAAGTCGAGATCCATGAGAAGTAATGCAGCCACCAGACGAAAATCAAATAGAGTCAAGCTTTGTGCAGTTTGAGAGAAAACACTCGCCTGTGTGTTTTCTACATCTGCTTTACAAATCTCTGGCCTAAGAAGTGGGTCAGTCTGCACACTTCTGTGAGATCAGGTGTTCTCAGCTTGTCTAGACAGCTGAGCATAAAGAAAAAGCATAATTTGATCACTATGGATACACTCGGGGAGGCTGAGTATTGGCCAAGCTGACTTGGGTACTTGGCAAAATGGGGGGAAGGAATAAAAAGATACTGAGAGATGACAATATTTAACACCTGAGACACTTCTTCAGGCTCTGAGATTGTGGTACCAAAGCAAACCAGGAGTGGTTGACTTTAGTGTCATATCACGTATATTATTCTTCACTTAATTGCCAAGACTTTGCTCCATTCTCCAAACAGTCCTTTGTTCTTTTCTTTTTTTTCCACAAAGCCCTTGTTTCATTAGCATCTGGAAACATTAGTGTTTGTGGGTTTTTGTTTTTTCTCCCTAATAACAGCTCCTCTAAATTTTTGTTTAATTTCCTGTTTAGTGGTTTTGTCATTTTTGCTGTGTTGTGTTTTGCATAGCAAGTTTTCTCCACGTATGGATATCTAAAGTCTGCTTATGTCATGTGAGTCTGGCACGGAGCTTCTTAGCGATACTGAGTTCACTCACTGACATTTGAATTCACTGTCCAGAATATGAAATTCTCAAGAATATGAAAATCGCAACAATTTCATGTTTTTCTTCTTTGGACTGGTCAGATTGCTCACTGGAAACTTTGTAAATCACCAGGCTAAAGGTCAAAAGAACAATTACCAGCGGATAAAACAGGCTGGGCTACAGTACTCTGAGATGCAGTCGGGGAAAAGAGAGAAGGATATCAACATGAGCTATAAGGCTTCAGACTGTGCCGTTCCCTGGAAAGCCCAAATGTCCTGTGTTGGGCCAGCTGTCCCTTCAGTCTGAAACCCAATTTTCCTCTAAGCTGAAGGAAGGGAGAATGCCAGCCACTGAGAAACAAGGGCTTAGGAGTAGATATTGAAAAAATCAGTAGTTTCCTTATTTTAGCTGTTCTTCTTTTATCTCCTCTGAGAGGTTATCGTCAGGCACATCTAAATCTTTAGCCTGTTGAGAGCTCTAAGGCAGGGATAGAATCAAGGCTTAGATATCTAAGTAGCCAGCTCAGGATTTAGTTTCTACCTCTGTTATATCAGTTTCGCCACATCAAGATGCTGTTATACCACTAACATTATACTGTCCTGTGTCCTCTTCTTTTCCCTGCATTTGTGAGCTCTATCATAAAAATACATCCACAGAGAAAAATTTTAAAACAATAGTGACAGGGTGTAAATTTAGAGGTGGTGCTCAATCCTCCATCCTCTTCTGAATCACCCAAGAGGTTTTGTTTGATAAAAGTCAGCCTTAAAAGTCTACAGAGGCAAGGTCTATTACCTCTTTGCATGTCTAGAATGAATCCTACATGTTGGGTTGCAGTTTACTTTCATGCACTACTGAATTCTGTGTAGGCAAAAGTGAGATGTTTACATGACTGATCATAACTGAATGTTTCTTTTCTGTGCACTCCCTGTTGGGTGATGATGACAAGGCTACATGCAATACTTTTTTGGATGTTCTTAGATGAAGATAGCCCACAGCTGCCTTCAGCATCCCTGCTGACTCATCTGTGCTGTTGAGATCACCTTACATCACTTTCATTGTTTCTCCTTTGGTAACTGGTTCGGTGGACTAGTCTAGGAAATAATATCTTTGAAGTTTTACATGCCTGTTATCAAGTGTATGTCTCCCTTGGATTTCCCTTGGTATAAGATGAAGGGTGTTGTACTTCTAGTGACTTCTGTGTTAGCTAGTTCCATGTCTACTTTTTATTTTGTATTTTATATTTTCTGCCATTTTACCAATCTTCTAGCAAACAGCTTGCTGTTTTAGATAGCTTTCAAATAGTACATTTCATGTTTGTTATTTCTGCAGTTTTCTCCTTTCTAGCTACCTAGTCTCGATCTTAACTCCATTCTCTTGCTTTTTATATGCAGCAGATAGAAGTTTTAAATTTTTCTGTGGTTTTTATTTTATTGTTGTTTTTTCTTAGATTGTCCAAGGTAAATACTCAATTATCTTTTGTTCTCTTTCTTTTCTTTAAGACTGTATCTCATGACTCACTTGGGGCAAGTCACAACAGTGGGCAAGTGCAGACCTATTCCTAAGCCTGGACCCCAGCGATTTTCAAGGGCTCTCAGGATGATTCCTTGATCAGAGCTGTAAGCTCAAGAATCATTGTAGTAGGTAGCCATTCCAGCTTTGATCTGGAAGTTCCAACCCCCATTGAGGCTTTGGTAAGGGTCATGCCTACAAGGTGGGGCTGAGAGAGGATGCTGAAGACCCGAGATCCGGATGCCCAGGCTCTCTTGGTTCCTGGACCCTAGACACTAGAGCTAAACTGAGCACAGTTCTCCAGAGAACACCGCTGAACTGCGCCACATCTTTCGCAGACCCTGTTACCTATCCCTTCACCTGTAAGTTACCCACAAAATAAACCTCCCTTTTAACTAAAAAAAAAATCCCAAAGACAATTTTAACAACCTCTAACCTAATAAATAACAATTTTAAGTACTAAGATTTCAGTATGTTTTCTTAGATAGATATTAAACTGTTTTTTATTGTATTCTATTTTATTACTTAAAACATTCCTTGGTATTATTATAAAATAACACAATTGTTCCTTAAAACATCAAAACACAGAACAATCTAAAAAGACAATATTAAAAATTTCTCTCAATCCTATATACCCAGATACAGTCTTCTAACATCATTTCTAGGATGCCATGGAATGTATTTCCTCATTTCAAAATAAATCACAAAGCTTTAATAATCAAAATATTGTGGTAACAGTGTAAAAGGAGATGCACAGGCCAATGAAATGGAGAGGCCAAAGTTAAAATCCATGATGACCTTTGATAAAGAAGTCAGAGCATCAGGGGGGCGGGGAATGGATAGCCACATGTAGGAGAATGAAATTGAACCCTTATATAATCTACAAAAATTAATTCAAATGAACATTCTGAAAAAATAATGAAAAGTATTTTGACATTGGCTTATGCAAAGATTTTTTTTTCTATCTATACCCATCAACCAATAAATGGATAAAGAAAATATGATATGTACACAGTATGGAGCACTACCCATCCTTTAAGAACAGAATCCTGTCATTTGTGACACAGAGACTTTTGTTGTTGTTGTTGTTGTTGTTGTTGTTGT